GGGGTGAGGGAGTATGGAAGAGAAGTTTTTTTTTTTTCAACAATTCGGCCGTCTCCCACCAAGGCAGGGTGACCCAAAAAGAAAATCCCCCCCCCCCCAAAAAAAAATACTTTCATCATCATTCAACACTTTCACCTCACTCATACAAAATCACTGTTTTTGCAGAGATGCCCAGAACAACATTTAGAAGCAAAAAATTTTTTTTTTAACAAAAACCCGGCCCTATCCCACCAAAAGGAGGGGGGTCCAAAAAAAAAAACGAAAGTTTTCTTTTTTTAAAAAATTTGAATTTTTTAAGGAGAAAAGGGGGTTTCTACCCCCTTACTCCCGGATTTTGTCCCCCTCTTTCAACACGAATGGGTTACGGAGGGAAAAATTTGTTTTCCCCTTTTCCCCTGGAGACAAAAGGAAATAAAGAAAATAGAAGAAAATAGAGAAAAACCCGAGGGGGGGGTATATATATGCTTTTATTTATGTGTAATGTGCCTAATGTAAGTATAAGTAGCAAGCCGTACCTGAAATCTTGCATGTTTGAGAGACAGAAAAAAGGACACCAGCAATCCTACCATCATATAAAACAATTACAGGCTTTCATTTTACACTCACTTGCCAGGACGATAGTACATTCCTGGGCGACTGCTGTCTACCAACCTACTACATACTAAGCATATACATGTATAAAGATATACAACATATCCCTCCAAACTGCCAGTATACCAAACCCCTCCTTTAAAGTGCAGGCATTGTACTTCCCATTTCCAGTACTCAAGGCCGGCTATATAAAAATAACCAGTTTCTCTGAATCCCTTTACTAAATATTACCCTGCCCACACTCCAACAGCTTGTCAGGTCCAAAACCATTCATCTCTCTTCACTCCTAACTAACACGCTCATGCATGCTTGCTGGAAGTCCACGCCCCTCGTCCACAAAACCTCCTTTACCCCCTCCCTCCAACCTTTTCGAAGACGATCCCTACCCCACCTTCCTTCCCCTACAGATTTATACGCTCTCCATGTTATTCTACTTTGATCCATTCTCTCTAAATGACCAAACCACCTCAACAACCCCTCTTCAGCCCTTTGACTAATACATTTATTAACTCCACACCTTCTCCTAATTTCCACACTCCAAATTTTCTGCATAATGTTTACACCACACATTGCCCTATGACAGGACATCTCCACTGCCTCCAACCGCCTCCTCGCTGCCACGTTTACAACCCAAGCTTCACACCCATATAAGAGTGTTGGTACCACTATACTTTCATACATTCCCTTCTTTGCCTTCATAGATAACGTTTTCTGTCTCCACATAAACCTCAATGCACCACTCACATTTTTTCCTTCATCAATTCTATGGTTGACCTCATCCTTCATAAACCCATCTGCTGACAAGTCCCAAATATTTGAAAACATTCACTTCTTCCATACTCCTCTCTCCAATGTGATATCCAATTTTTCTTTATCTAAATCATTTGATACCTTCATCACCTTACTCTTATCTATGTTAACTTTCAACTTTCTATCTTTGCACACCCATCCAAACTCATCCACTAACCTTTGCAAGTTTTCTTTAGAATCTCCCATAAGCACAGTATCATCAGCAAAAAGTAACTGTGTCAATTCCCATTTTGTATTTGATTCCCCATAATTTTATCTCACCCCTCTCCCCAACACCCTAGCATTTACTTCTTTTACAACCCCATCTATAAATATAGTAAACAACCATGGTGTCATTACACATCCCTGTTTGAGACCTACTTTTACCGGGAAGTAATCTCCCTCTCTTCTACACGCCCTAACCTGAGCCTCACTATCCTCATAAAAACTCTACAGCATTTAGTAACTTACTACCTATTCCATATACTTGCAACATCTGCCACATTGCTCCCCTATCCACTCTATCATATGCTTTTTCTAAATCCATAAATACAATGAAAACTTCCTTACCTTTATCTGAATACTTTTCACATATATGCTTCAATGTAAACACCTGATCTACACATCCTCTACCCACTCTAAAACCTCCCTGCTCATCTACAATCCTACTCTCTGTCTTACCTCTAATTCTTTCAATAATAACCCTACAGTACTGGTATACTCAGTAAACTACTACTACTTCTTCTTTCAACAAACCGGCTGTATCCCACCGAGGCAGGGTGGCCCAAAAAGAAAAACAAAAGTTTCTCTTTTCAAATTTAGTAATTTATACAGAAGGGGTTACTAGCCCCTTGCTCCAGGCATTTTAGTCGCCTCTTACAACACGCATGACTTACGGAGGAAGAATTCTGTTCCACTTCCCCATGGAGGACTCAGTAAACTTATTCCCCTATAATTTTTTGAATCTCTTTTGTCCCCCTTCCCTTTATATAAAGGAACTATACATGATCTCTGCCAATCCCTAGGTACCTTCTCCTCTTTCATACATTTATTAAACAAAAATACCAACCACTCCAACACTATATCCCCCTGCTTTTAACATTTCTGTCATGATCCTGTCAGTTCTGCTGCTTTACCCCCTTTCATTCTACATAATGCCTCATGCACCTCCCCCACACTCACATCCTGCTTTTCTTCATTCCTGAAAGATATTATACCTCCCTGGCCAGTGCATGAAATTACTGCCTCCCTTTCTTCATCAACATTTAAAAGTTCCTCAAAATATTCCCACCATCTACCCAATACCTGCAGCTCCCCATCTACTAACTCCTCTACTCTGTTTTTAACTGACAAATCCATCCATCCCCTAGGCTTTCTTAACTTGTTTATCTCAATCCAAAATGAAATGAAAGTGAATGTATTCAGATATTTGGGAGTAGACCTGTCAGCAGATTGGTTTATTAAAGAAGAAGTTAACCATAGAATTGATGAAGACAAAAATGTGAGTGGAGCATTGAGGTATCTGTGGAGACAAAAAGACATTATCCATGGAGGCAAAGAAGGGAATGTACAGGAGCACAGTGGTACCAACACTCTTATATGGGTGTGAAGCATGGGTTGTAAATGCTGCAACAAGGAGGAGGCTGGAAGCAGTGGAGATGTCATTTCTAAGGGCAATGTGTGGTGGAAATATTATGCAGAGAATTCGTAGTGTGGAAATTAGGAGGTGTGGAGTTACTAAAGGTATTATTCAGAGGGCTGAAGAGGGGTTGCTGAGGTGGTTTGGTCATTTAGAGAGGTGGAGCAAAATAGGATGAATGACCTGGAGGGTGTATAAATCTGTAGTGGAGGGGAGGAGGGGTAGGGGCCATCCTAGGAAAGGATGGAAGGAGGGGGTAAAAGAGGTTCTGTGTGCAAGGGGCTTGGACATGCAGCAGGCATGTGTGAGCATGTTAGATAGGTGTGAATGGAGATGAATGGTTTTTGAGAGTTGTTGGAGTGTGAGTAGGGTAATATTTTGTGAAGGGATTCAGGAAAACCAGTTAGCTGGATCTGAGCCCTGGAGGTGGGAAGAACAATGCCTGCACTTTAAAGGAGGGGTCTGGGATACTGGCTGTTTGGAGTGACATCTAAACTGTCGTATCTTAGTGCCTCTGCAAAGACGGTGATTATGTGTGAATAATGGTGAAAGTGTTTTTTTCTTTTTTGGGTCATGATGCCTTAGTGGGAAATGGTCAGTGCATTAAAAAAAAAATACTAAAGAAGAGATAAACATTCAAAAATACTTTCTTAAGTTTTTGAATGCATTCAGTGTCAGTTGTACATTTTACTAAGATACTTCAAATATTTAAATGATAAGAAAAAGTATTAATTCTTCAGTGACTATTCATTTATCACTAGTGAAACAAAAGATCATAATTCCCTAGCTTATGCATAAGATCAAATGTATGCAGGAGTGTGTCAAAGTGAATAGGAAGGTAAGAAAGAGAGGTGGGGGTAGAGCTGCTGTCCATCCCTGCACACTGCTCCATTCCTCCCACATCATATACTTAACCACAGCAGTGATGAAGTGGTGAGCATATATAATGTGAATAGGACAGTGAGACTTAAGAGAGGAAAACAGTCTGGCTGCTACCCACCCCCACAGATCTACATCATATACAGTACTGTATTGTAGCTCTGTTCTTCTTAACAAGCATGCATTAAATAAACAAAGTTAACACTGCTTGGGCAAATATTCTTACATAAAAAAAAAATGAAATTAGATACAGAATATTATGGCTAGGGAACACATTACAGATTATAGCAGAGGTGCTTGTAGTAGAAAATGTTCTGAGTTCTGAACACTAAACTTACGAATGATTTTCAGGAACTCAATGAGGTTGTGAGATGGAAGCCTACTGTATATGACTTTGTTGTCACCCTAAATATTTTTTTCCCAGACTGTCCTCTTTACCCCAATATGTATTTCAGTATGAGAGTGGCCAGTTAGATGAATACATCTCCCCAGATATTGAAGTGTAGTGATACTGCTGCCTAAACTAGCAAAGAAAATAGATTCAGCATCTCTCAACAGTGCCGTTTACAGCCGGTAATTCAAAAAACCCTTTTAACAGGAAATACTTTAAGTGAGGACATCTACCACAGTAGGGATTGACAAAGCCTCACTATGGGTGAAACATAAAATAAAGGTTTTTCTGCTTGAAATGTCTTTGAATTACCATGTGTCAGTTTATGCTACTGTGTCTATACCATTCAAAACACACCATAAAAAAGCTGGTTTAATTAAATTATAAGCCAAACACCCTCAGAATTTTAATGCATTTACTTTTAGTTAACTAAATGAAGTTTTAATTATATCATGGGTTTACTGAAAATTAAATTTTGACCACTTAAGTACTGTAAATTCACAGGTTTCTGCTCTTTTCCATAAGTATATATGTATATTATGTATTGAGCATGCTCATCATTCCAAGGTTAGTACAAACCTAGGGTAAGGAGTATAGTGGACTATAATTTATAGAGGTAGTAAATGGTGGAATAATCCTAAGGTTCAAAATTATCTAGCAAGTAAATAACCCAGCATTTGCACTAACTCTTAGCTTACCTTTCTGATTTCAGTGAATGATAGGAAACTAACATACCTTTGGCTGTGAATAATCAAGAAGATTGTTTTTAATTCCACCATAAAAAGTCACTTCACCAGGGAATCCAACAGCTGAAGTGTGCCAAAGTACAGGTCCTGCTTGCTCACTGGGTGACTGCTGCCATTTCCCATTTGTAACATCTAATACCCAGATGTCCTCTGTACCAAAAATTGTAACAAGCTAGTAATATACTCTACACTCATCACAAAATGAATAATATATTTTGAATACAAAGCAATAACACTAATTCACAGTAAAGGGAAGAAAAATTATTTGTTCTCTCATTTCTAATTCTACTGACAAAGGTTAAACACCATGTGGCTGTTGGGGTATTTCTTCATTTTTGCACTCTCTAATGATGACTTTTTTCACTACTTAGTCTCTGTACCTCTTTGTTATATATTCTCAATCCTAACTTCTGAACTTTTTTTATGATTTGTTTTACTTAAGCATCTGTGCCTTTTTTTGGGATGCAATGCTGACCGAAATATAATTTAAATTTGTAAGTATCATTACAGCTCAATTACACATCTTCCAACAAATTTATTTTTAGTGTAGGTACAAAATAATGTACAATAATAAACTGGATGGATGGTGGTACATACATACCTCCCTGGATGGTGGTACATACATACCTCCCTGGATGGTGGTACATACATACCTCCCTGGATGGTGGTACATACATACCTCCCTGGATGGTGATACATACATACCTTCCTGGATGGTGGTACATACATACCTCCCTGGATGGTGGTACATACATACCTTCCTGGATGGCAGTACATACATACCTCCCTGGATGTTGGTACATACATACCTCCCTGGATGGTGGTACATACATACCTCCCTGGATGGTGGTACATACATACCTTCCTGGATGGTGGTACATACATACCTCCCTGGATGGTGGTACATACATACCTCCCTGGATGGTGGTACATACATACCTTCCTGGATGGTGGTACATACATACCTCCCTGGATGGTGGTACATACATACCTCCCTGGATGGTGGTACATACATACCTCCCTGGATGGTGGTACATACATACCTCCCTGGATGGTGGTACATACATACCTCCCTGGATGGTGGTACATACATACCTTCCTGGATGGTGGTACATACATACCTTCCTGGATGGCAGTACATACATACCTACCTGGATGGTGGTACATACATACCTCCCTGGATGGTGGTACATACATACCTCCCTGGATAATGGTACATACATACCTCCCTGGATGGTGGTACATACATACCTCCCTGGATGGTGGTACATACATACCTCCCTGGATGGTGGTACATACATACCTCCCTGGATGGTGGTACATACATACCTCCCTGGATGGTGGTACATACATACCTCCCTGGAAGGTGGTACATACTCTCTGGATGGTGGCACATACATACCTCTCTGGATAGTGGTACATACATACCTCCATGGATGGTGGTACATACATACCTTTCTGGATGGTGGTACATACTCTCTTGATGGTGGTACAAACTCTCTGGACGGTAGTACATACATACCTCCCTGGATGGTGGTACATGCATACCTCCCTGGATGGTGGTACATGCATACCTCTCTGGATAGTGGTACATACGTACTTCCCTGGATGGTGGTACATATATACCTCCCTGGATGGTGGTATATACATACCTCCATGCATGGTGGTACATACATACCTCCCTGGATGGTGGTACATACCTCCCTGGATGACTTCTCTCTATCAACTTACTATCTGGCAATACTGTACATATTTGTAGTTGATTTTAATGGAAAATTTATTCCTGCAATGGTCTCCACTTTATGAGCACTTACTTAACAAGAAAATATTTGCATTAACAAATCTGTATAATGGATACATACTTTGGTTCACAGTACTAATTCTCAGAATGAAGTCTGTATGTTATATAACATCAGAGCATACTAATCCTGGAGGACTCAGTGAGAACTCTCTCTCTCTTATCACTACTTAAATTTTTCTTAAAAAAAAAAAAAAAAAAATACATTGCACACTGCATTAGTTTTACTTTATCTGCTTTTTTTTAGTTTCTATGTTAGGTTTTCATGCAGAACCTTACCAAAACCTTGTAGAAATAAAGGTAAATGCAGATAATAACCCATTAAACAATAATACATGGGAAAGAATGCAATATACAGTGGACCCTCAGGTAACGATGACATCGGATAGCAATAAAATCGGATAGCGATGCGTATTAGCGTAAAAATATTGGCTCGGCCAACGATGAAAAACATGGTTAAGGACATTCATCCCGAACGCGTCCACATGGCCTGAGCCAGCCGAGGCTGCCCAGCCACTATGTACAGCCAGTGTGCCAGGGTTTACAAGCCAGGGCGGACGATTCCACGCATACATGCGATACATTTTGTATTATTCCACTGTTTTTAGTGCTTGTGACTGCTAACTGGGCCCAAAGAAAGCTTCTAGCGCCAACCCTGTGGTAAAAAGGATGAGAAATACTATCGAACTGAAGAAAGAGATACAGTGGACCCCAGCATAACGATCACCTCCGAATGCGACCAATTATGTAAGTGTATTTATGTAAGTGCGTTTGTACGTGTATGTTTGGGGGTCTGAAATGGACTAATGTACTTCACAATATTCCTTATGGAAACAAATTCGGTCAGTACTGGCACCTGAACATACTTCTGGAGTGAAAAAATATCGTTAACCGGGGGTCCACTGTAATCGCAAAGTACGGAAGTGGAGTGAGTGCCTCTAAGGTGGCCGGGTTGTATAAGAAACCCCAATCAACCATCACTACTATCTTGGCCAACAGAAAGGCAATGAAGGAAGCTGTTGTTGCAAAAGGTGCAAGTATGCTTACAAAACAGAGATCATAAATACTCAACACTGTGGAGAGACTGTTATTGGTGTGGATCAACGACAAACAATTATCAGGAGATAATGTGTCTCAGTCAATAATGCATGAAAAGGCAAGGCAGTTGCATGCAGATCTCATTAAGAAAATGCCTGGAACTAGTGCTGATGTTAGTGATTTTAAGGCCAGCAAAGGTTCGTTTGATTATTATTATTATTATAATCAAAAAGAAGCGCTAAACCACAAGGGCTATACAGCTGCATAAAGGTTGGTCTGAGAGATTTAAGAATTGTAGAGGCATACACAGTGTGATAAGGCATGGCGAGGCTGCCAGTTGTGACCAAAAAGCGGCTGAAAAATATGTACAGGAATTCAAGGAGTACATTAAACCCCAACAAGTGTTTAATTGTGACGAAACAGGCCTGTTTTGGAAGAAAATGCCAAACAGGACCTACATTACACAGGAGGAAAAAGCACTGCCAGGACACAAGCCTATGAAAGACAGGCTAACTCTAATGTTTTGTAGTAATGCTAGTGGGGATTGCAAAGTGAAGCCTTTACTCGTGTATCATTCTGAAACTCCCAGTGTGTTCAAGAAAAACAGTGTCGTCAAAGCTAATGTGTGTGTGATGTGGAAGGCAAACAGTAAGCCATGGGTCACTAGAGACATTTTCCATGACTGGTTCTATCATGTGTTTGGCCCCACTGTGAAAAAATACCTCCTGGAAAATAAATTGGACCCTCAAGTGCCTCCTGGTATTAGACAATGCTCCTGCTCATCCTCTAGACTTGCAAGAGCGAACTGCGGGGTAGTCGAGTTTTATTAAAGTAAAGTTTTTGCTTCCTAACACCACTCCTCTCCTCCAGCCCATGGACCAGCAGGTCATTTCAAATTTCAAAAAACTGTACACCAAAGCAATGTTTCAAAAGTGCTTTGAAGTAACCTCTGACACTGAATTGACCATAAGAGAGTTTTGGAAAGATCAGTTGCATAAACCTTATTGGTAAGGCTTGGGAGGGAGTGACTTGCAGGACTTTGAACTCTGCTTGGAGGAAATTGTGGCCACAATGTGTACAAGAGAGGGATTTTGAAGGGTTTGGGGCTAACCCTGAGGAGCCTATACCAGTTGTGGAATCTATTTTATCATTAGGGAAGTCCATGGGGTTGGAGGTTAGTGGCGAGGATGTGGAAGAGTTGGTGGAGGACGATGATGAAGAACTAACCACTGATGAGCTGCAAGAGTATCTGCAACAGCAAGAGACCACAGCTGAGGAAACTGCTTCAGAGGAGGGGAGAGAGAGATGGAGGAAGTTGCATTCTTCAATGATTAGGGACATTTGTACAATGTGGACAAAGGTGATAACCTTTATGGATGAACATCACCCTGACACAGCTACTGCAAGCCATGCTGGTGACTTTTACAATGACAATGTTGTGTCCCATTTTAGGGAAATCTTAAACGAACGCCAGAAACAGAGCTCTATGGACAGATTTTTGGTGCAACAGAGGTCCAGTGACTTGTCAAGTTGTTCCTAGTGGCATTAAAAAACAAAGAAGGGAAGTAACCCCGGAAAAGGACTTGCTACCTAAAGTCCTTATGGAAGGGGATGCCCCTTCCAAACAATAATACACCTCCATCATCTCCCCTCCTCCCATCTCATCACTCATCAATAAATTTTCAATAAAGGTAAGTGTCACATATTCTTCATGTAGTATTTATTCTTCATGTATTTATTCTTCATGTATTTATTCTTCATGTATCATTGTTTTCTGTGTACAAAATTGTATATTTCATGTGAAAAAAAAACTTTTTAATACTTTTGGGTGTCTGGAACGAATTAATTTTATTTCCACTATTTCTTATGGGGAAAATTAATTCGGCTAACGATAAAATCGGTTAAGGACAAGCTCTCTGGAATGGATTAAAATCGTTACCCAAGGGTCCACTGTAATAAGATTAACTGAGAAACAAAATGTAACATTAAAAGAATTAATAAAAGAAAATCAATATGGAAAAGCTAAAAATGCTTGTAACATTGAATTTTACCTATACTGCACATAGATAGATATGGAGGTTAGTGGCAGTTTGTCATGATAAATAAGAAAACTTTCTACTGATGTGGAGCTACAGTCATATGATCATATTATGACCACTCAGTTCAACTTAAGGTTATTTAACTAAAGCATTCATTCCAATGGCATATTATTCCACTCCATAAAATAATCAATAAAACTGTAAGAAATGGCAAAGATTAGATGACCTCATGCACAAGTGGAAATGAGTGGGCAGCAAAATTCTTATAATTGGTAATAAGATCATATGTACCAGCATGTGAGAAAAAACTTGAGTGAGAGGTGATGTGGGAGCTATCAAACTTTATCTAGTACTACTAGAAATAAAGTGGACCCCCGGTTAACGATCACCTCCAAATGCGACCAATTATGTAAGTGTATTTATGTAAGTGCGTTTGTACGTGTATGTTTGGGGGTCTGAAATGGACTAATCTACTTCACAATATTCCTTATGGGAAAAAATTCGGTCAGTACTGGCACCTGAACATACTACTGGAATGAAAAAAGTTCGTTAACCGGGGGTCCACTGTATTAGCAACACATCTATCCTTCATTTAGTGCTGAAAGAAAAACACTGGTATAACACTTCACTTGAAGGATAATAGTACAATGTCAGGTCTCATTTTTTAAATAAAATTAGGATTTTTATTCAAAACACTGAACTAAGAGCAATGTGTAATGTGAATATTATGCAGAGAGTTTAGAGATTGGCTGTTTGGAATGACATCTAAACTGTTGTATCTGGGCACTTCTGCATAGACAATGATTATGATCATTTTTGGGTTACCTTGCCTTGGTGAGAGATGGCTGACGAGTTAAAAAAAAAAAATCAGAGTGGAGAAATTAAAGACGTGGTGGGTTATGAAAGGTATAATTTAGAGGAAAGAGGAGTTGAGATTATTACAGAAACTCATTTTGAGAGAATGTGAGATAAGATGACCAAGGGAAGGTGGGAACTTGAAGTGGAAGGAAGGAGACTAGGGGTCATCCCAGGAAAGGTTGGAATGAGGGGGGAAAAGTGTGAAGAAGTGCTTGAGCATCCATCAAGTGGGTGTGAGCGAATTAGATTCGAGTGGAAATGAGTTATTTTTGCAAGTGTGAGTATGAGCAAGGTAACATTTATGAATGAAAACTGGCTAGCCGGACTTATGCTAAGTCCTGGGAGTGAGAAGTACTGAACAATGCCTGCACTCTGGAGGAAAGGTGTGAATGTTGCAGACTGGAGGATCATTTAAATTATGATAATAAATGATGGTGAATGTGATTCCTTTTCTGGGTCACCTCTACCTTGGGATAAGATAGCCAGACTGGAAAATAATATTTGATATCAGTAGTTATATGATATACAGAAGGGCCCTGCATACACAGCACCCACTTTTTGGTGTTCCACATTTTCATTGGCTTTCAATTAAGCCAGTGTTTATTATGTTTGATGCTTTTACCACTTTTCTGCCATCATCGCCGTTGTTGTACAACAGTTGCGTAAGGGAAGGACGACCCAGCACTGTATTTTAGCTAAGTATTGTATGTACTGCGTATTTTACTTTATCTGTTTTTGTATGCCTAGCTGTACTGAGCACTTAATATATGATAGTGTAAACACGTTATCAGGTGCTTTAGATGCATCTGATAATGAAAAAATGGCTCTTTTTCCACCCGCTGGTGATTTTTACTTATCATTTAGGGTCATGAGCCTAAGAACTGTACAAACAGGATCCTCCTGTACTGTATTATAATCTCAGAGCAATGTAAATTAAGAAAATTTTAATTATTATAAGAGAATTAAATATTTTAACACTGACAATACAGTAACATGCAGGGCAGTATTAGTTAAAAATAAAAACCATTCATAGAAAAGAGCAGATCAAAATTATACTGTACCTAGAAATATAATTAAAGTACTGAATATTCACATGATAAAATCAAAATTATAATGCAAAACCCACGTTCTTTATGAAATAAAATATTATCATCAACCAACTGGTATTTTCTTACTTAAAACTTGCTGAGTTGTATTGAAGCCACCATATATAACTGCTTTATTTTCTGATATAAAATTGAATGTATGCCAAGATCGACCCTCTGGTGTTTCTTGAATTGCACTCTCCGTCAAACTAGAAAGGAAGAGCAAGTAACATAGTTATCCTTACAATAGATAAATGCATGACAAATTTATACTCAAATACAACTAGGGTAGATACTGGTCAGTCACTATGAAGTTAGAGGAAGTATTGCTGTCCCTTTGACCTAGCAATATTTTTGTTATAAGAGATGATTTCTAAATTTTTTGCATGAAGTGCTAAACCCTCAGGGATCACACAGAGCCCAAGGAATGGGTGGCAATCAGATTTGATCAATGGAAGAGGAGGGTATTATAAATTCCTTAGAATCAAGAGCCCTTCACTAGCACCAAGGATCCTTCCATAAAAGCTGTTATAATTTGTTATCTTTTATCTGTAAGTGACTCTAGGGATTATCTTCCCCTCAGACCAGTCCTTTTAGGATAGAAATAAAACTTTCAGAATTGAGAAGTATTATGAAGCACATATGAAAGGTACATCTCTTACAAGGTAGTAGGTTGGTCGACGGCAACCATTCAGGAAGGTACTACCGTCCTACCGAGTGTAAAAAGGAAGCTTATATTTGTTTTACATGATGGTAGGATTGCTGGTGTCTTTTTTCTGTTTCATAAACATGCAAAATTTCAGGTATGTCTTGCTACTTCTACTTACACTTACATCACACTACACATACAAGTACACGTTTATGTATATACACTCATCTGAGTTTTCTTTGATTTTATCTTTATAGTTCTTGTTCTTATTACTTTTCCTTTCATATCCATGGGGAAGTGGAATAAGAATCTTTCCTTCGTAAACCATGCATGTTGTAACAGCCAACTAAAATGCCGGGAACATTGGGCTAGTAACCCCTTTTCCCGTGTAGCCTACTAAAAAACAAAAGAAGAAAACCGTCAAAGTGGGATGTCTGAATGTGCGTGGATGTTGTGTGAATGATAAGAAAGAGATGACTGTGGATGTTATGAATGAGAAGAAGCTGGATGTCCTGGCTTGAAGTGAAACAAAGCTGAAGGGGGTGGGAGAGTTTCACTAGGGAGAAATAAATGGGATTAGGTCAGGGGTTTCAAATAGAGTTAGAGCTAAAGAAGAAGTAGCAATAATGTTGAAGGATAAGTTATGGCAGGAAAAGAGGGAATATAAATGCATAAATTCAAGGATTATGTGGAGTAAAATAAGGGCTGGATGTGAAAAGTGGGTTATAGTAAGCATTTATGCACCTGGAGAAGAGAGAAGTGTAGAGGAGAGAAAGAGATTTTGGGAAATGTTGAGTTAGTGTGTGGGGAGTTTTGAACCAAGTGAGAGAGTACAGTATTTGTGGTTGGGGATCTCAATGCTAAAGTGGGTAAAAATGTTATGGAGGGAGTAGAAGGTAAATCTGGGGTGCCAGGGGTAAATGAAAATGGGGAGCCTTTAATTGAGCTATGTGTAGAAAGAGGTTTGGTAATAAGTAATACATATTTTATAAAAAAGAGGATAAATAAGTATACAAGGTATGATATAGCATGTAATGAAAGTAGTTTGTTAGATTATGTATAGGTGGATAAAAGGTTGATGGGTAGGCTTCAGGATGTACATGTTTATAGAGGGGCAACTGATGTATTGGTTCATTATTTAGTTGTAGCTACAGTTAGAGTAAGAGGCAGATGGGACAAAAGGAAAATGTCAACAGCAAGTAAGAGGGAGGTGAAAGCGTATAAACTAAGGGAGGAGGAAGTTAAGGTGAGATATAAGCAACTATTGGAAGAGAGGTGGGCTAATGCAAAGATGAGTAGTGGGGGGGGGGGGGTTGAAGAGGGTTGGAATTGTTTTAAAGATGCAGTACATGTATTAGAATGTGGGGCAGAAGTTCGTGGCTCCAGGAGAGTGGGTGCAGGAGGAAAGAGGAGTGACTGGTGGAATGATGAAGTAAAGGGTATGACAAAAGAGAAAAAGATAGCTTATGAGAGATTTTTATAAAGCAGAAGTGTTATAAGAAGAGTAGAGTATATGGAGAGAAAGAGAAAGGTGAAGAGAGTGCAAAAGGAGAGCAGATAGAGTAGGAGAGGCACTGTCTTACCTGGAGTTTACCTGGAGAGAGTTCCGAGGGTCAACGCCCCCGCGGCCCGGTCTGTGACCAGGCCTCCTGGTGGATCAGAGCCTGATCAACCAGGCTGTTACTGCTGGCTGCACGCAAACCAACGTACGAGCCACAGCCCGGCTGATCAGGAACCGACTTTAGGTGCTTGTCCAGTGCCAGCTTGAAGACTGCCAGGGGTCTGTTGGTAATCCCCCTTATGTATGCTGGGAGGCAGTTGAACAGTCTCGGGCCCCTGACACTTATTGTATGGTCTCTTAACGTGCTAGTGACACCCCTGCTTTTCATTGGGGGGATGTTGCATCGTCTGCCAAGTCTTTTGCTTTCGTAGTGAGTGATTTTCGAGTGCAAGTTCGGTACTAGTCCCTCTAGGATTTTCCAGGTGTATATAATCATGTATCTCTCCCGCCTGCGTTCCAGGGAATACAGGTTCAGGAACCTCAAGCGCTCCCAGTAATTGAGGTGTTTTATCTCCATTATGCGCGCCGTGAAGGTTCTCTGTACATTTTCTAGGTCAGCAATTTCACCTGCCTTGAAAGGTGCTGTTAGTGTGCAGCAATATTCCAGCCTAGATAGAACAAGTGACCTAAAGAGTGTCATCATGGGCTTGGCATCCCTCGTTTTGAAGGTTCTCATTATCCATCCTGTCATTTTTCTAGCAGATGCAATCGATACAATGTTATGGTCCTTGAAGGTGAGGTCCTCCGGCATGATCACTCCCAGGTCTTTGACGTTGGTGTTTTGCTCTATTTTGTGGCCAGAATTTGTTTTGTACTCTGATGAAGATTTAATTTCCTCGTGTTTACCATATCTGAGTAATTGAAATTTATCATCGTTGAACTTCATATTGTTTTCTGCAGCCCACTGAAAGATTTGGTTGATGTCCGCCTGGAGCTTTGCAGTGTCTGCAATGGAAGACACTGTCATGCAGATTCGGGTGTCATCTGCAAAGGAAGACACGGTGCTGTGGCTGACATCCTTGTTTATGTCAGATATGAGGATGAGGAACAAGATGGGAGCGAGTACTGTGCCTTGTGGAACAGAGCTTTTCACCGTGCCTGCCTCGGACTTTACTCTGTTGACTACTACTCTGTGTTTCTGTCAAGAAATTTTGAGGAAAATAAGAAAAATATTTAGTGAGATAAACAAGTTAAGAAAGTCTAGGGAATGAATAGATTTTTTTTTTTTTAACAAGTCGGCCGTCTCTCACCGAGGCAGGGTGACCCAAAAAGAAAGAAAATCCCCAAAAAGAAAATACTTTCACCATCATTCAACACTTTCACCTCACTCACACATAATCACTGTTTTTGCAGAGGTGCTCAGAACACAACAGTTTAGAAGCATATACGTATGAAGATACACAACATATCCCTCCAAACTGCTAATATCCCAAAACCCCTCCTTTAGAGTGCGGGCACTGTACTTCCCATTTCCAGGACTCAAGTCTGGCTATATAAAAATAACTGGTTTCCCTGAATCCCTTCACTAACTATTACCCTGCTCACACTCCAACAGATCGTCAGGTCCCAAATACCATTCATCTCCATTCCCTCCTATTGAACACGCTCATGCACGCTGCTGGAAGTCCAAGCCCCTTGCCCACAAAACCTCCCTTAAACCTTCCTTCCAACCTTTTCGAGGACAACCCCTACCCCGCCTTATTTCTCCTACAGATTTAAATGCTCTCCATGTCATTCTACTTTGATCCATTCTCTCTAAATGACCAAACCACCTCAACAACCCCTCTTCAGCCTTCTGACTAATACTTTTATTACTCCACACCTTCTCCTAATTTCCACACTCTGAATTTTCTGCATAATATTTACACCACACATTGCCCTTAGACAGGACATCTCCACTGCCTCCAACCACCTCCTCACTGCTGCATTCACAACCCAAGCTTCACACCCATATAAGAGAGTTTGTACTACTATACTTTCATACATTCCCTTCTTTGCCTCCATAGATAATGTTTTTTGACTCCACATATACCTCAATGCACTACTCACCTTTTTTCCCTCATCAAATCTATGATTAACCTCTTCCTTCATAAATCCATCCGCCGGCATGTCAACTCCCAAGTATCTGAAAACATTCACTTCTTCCATACTACTCCTCCCCAATTTGATATCCAATTTTTCTTTATCTAAATCATTTGATACCCTCATCACCTTACTCTTATCTATGTTCACTTTCAACTTTCTACCTTTACACACTCCCAAACTCATCCACTAACCTTTGCAACTTTTCTTTAGAATCTCCCATAAGCACAGTATCATCAGCAAAAAGTAACTGTGTCAATTCCCATTTTGTATTTGATTCCCCATAATTTAATCCCACCCCTCCCCCGAACACCCTAGCATTTACTTCTTTTACAACCCCATCTATAAATATATTAAAAAACCATGGTGACATTACACATCCCTGTCTAAGACCTACTTTTACCGGGAAGTAGTCTCCCTTTCTTCTACACACCCTAACCTGAGCCTCACTATCCTCATAAAAACTCTTTACAGCATTTAGTAACTTACCACCTATATCATACACTTGCAGCATCTGCCACATTGCTCCCCTACCCACTCTATCATATGCCTTTTCTAAATCCATAAATGCAATAAAAACTTCCCTACCTTTATCTAAATACTGTTCACATATATGCTTCAATGTAAACACTTGATCTACACATCCCCTACCCACTCTGAAACCTCATTGCTCATCCGCAATCCTACATTCTGTCTTACCTCTAATTCTTTCAATAATAACTCTACCGTACACTTTTCCTGGTATACTCAGTAAACTTATTCCTCTATAATTTGTACAATCTCTTTATATAAAGGGACTATACATGCTCTCCACCAATCCCTAGGTACCTTTCTCTCTTTCATACATTTATTAAACAAAAGTACCAACCACTCCAACACAATATCCCCCCTGCTTTTAACATTTCTGTCATGATTCC